TCCTGACTTCAGGGTCGGTGCTCTATCCACTGCGCCACATAGCTGCCCCTCGTTTCCCTAATTTCTACCTCTAGATCTCACCTATCTCCATGATTCCAGGCCTGTGTTCCCCATGGACACCTCAAACACAATTTATCTTGTCTCCAATCTTGCCCCTCCCCCAACCATCCTTCTGTGTTTAAAAATGACTTCATCAATTTCTGCTCTCCTACTTAATGAAGTATAAAACTCTGATCCTGTCCTTAACACCCTCCACAACCTGGTTTCTACATACTTTCTTGGCCTTATCTCATATTACTCCCTTTTATATAATCTACTTTGTCAGCTAAGACAAACTACTCATTCCCTGTTTTTATCTCTTCTTTTCCCCTCTCTGTGCCTTTGCTCACATCATCCCTCATGCTTAAAACAAAAATTCCCAGTTAAAAACTCTCAAGATTCAACTAAGGTGCCATAAAAAGCCTTTTATTTCCCCTAACAGAAAGTGACTCTTCCCCTCCTTAAATCTCTCCTTTTAGAATTGTGTCCATCTTATTTCCTCTATTAAATCATAACTTGAGGGCAGGGCCTGTGTCTTTATTCTATTTTTAATATCCCCCCCCAAATCATTGTGCCTTGGTCCTGCCCTGCATTTAATGTGTGTTAAATGGAAGCTGAATAACAAAGTAGCAATGGACCACAGAGGTAAGATTCCCAAAGAACTCACAGGCTGGAATGATGATCAAAAAATAAAATAAAATGAAATTTATCAGGGACCTCAGTTACCCTGATCCCACCCCCACTCAGGTCTAGGGGCAATAGCCATTTTAGACTGTTTCCTCTAAGGGTTCTCGGTGGGGGTGATGAAAGGGAGGCTGGGAGTATGGAAAACAACTGACGTGGCCCCTGACAGGTCAGATTTGAGCCTGAGAACATCCTAGGGTCAGAACCAGGTACACACAAGTCCTAGTATGGGAGTCTTGGATGCTTCTAGGGGTTTAATTCTGGGACATCACCAGTCTCTAAGAGGGCCACCAAGGACCTATATTTCTGTCTGCCCCAGGAAAGGAGGAAACACTAGAGGAAAAGACTAGGTTTGGCTCTCCTCTCACCCCCTGCAGTAAAAGCAACCTTTTGAATGGTCCTCAACACCCAAGAGTTCGACATGCCTGAGCATGGATATCACAGGCTTATATGCTGGTGTGCAACCCCACCTCCCACCCCGTACCCCCCTTTGCAGGGCAATGTGGGTACTGAAGGGGAATGATGAAAACTCAAAGATAACAGTTCCAATAGCCAGTCCACAGAGAGCAATCTGAGGACCTGTCACTTCAACATGTAAATTCTTGGCAGAAAACGGGGTGGCACATAGCTACCCATGAACAACAGAGCTGAGATTCACAAAGATTCCAACAAAGTGGACCAAGAAGCAAAGTTAAATTTAACAGGAATGAATGTCAAGTCCTTCATTTAGGAACAATTCCACCAGCATTGGCCAGGAAGTCAGCAAACAGTTCATGTGGAGTAAAATCCAGCTACCCTGTTTATAGCTCGAGATTCTGCTCCTTTACTTTCCCACCGTTAGTGAGATGGCCAAGCAAGTAGGCCACACTGAGTGAACAGTAGGGGGTCCTTTTCACCTTCCTTTTACCCTGGAATCCTGATAAGCTCAGGTCAGCGTTAGGGCTCCAGAGAAAGACAGAAGGTTCACTACCTGTGTTTGCCAGGTAGGTAGTCACGAATCATCTGTGAAGCAATTCAGTTTATGATGTGTCAGCCTGGATAAGCAAAATGTCAGCAGGTCCCTGTGCATATGCTAGCCATAACTACTTCTCTCAGGAGTCAGGAAACAACAAAGTCTACACACAGATAGATAGAGACTTTCCTGCTCTAATGTCTAAAAAGGTAGGGACGGGGAAGCAAGGGCTAGGGGAGGGGACAGGCACTAGCTCTGCCACACAGCTTTTTCCTCCAGGGTGAGGGATTGGGGAGGAAAGAGCTGCCTATCACTATGCCTTTTCTCAGTAGGATAAGCATCGGCCCCACTCGAGTACCACATATTTCTGGCATCCCGGGAATGAAAGGGATTGTCTTTTGTGAAATTTGGCTGGGGCAAGATGATATTAAAGAAATACTGAATTAGTCTTGTTTCTGAGTCATGCAAAAATGAAAAACACTTCAGTGACAGGTAGTTCTTCATCACCTCTTCCCCTACTTTGGGCAGAAACAGGAGAGATATTTAGTGACCTGATTATAATGTAGGTGATCACTGAGCAGTAATCAGAAAGCATCCTGATTACAACTGGGATCTGCTGTCAGAAGAAAATCCCCAATAGGCAGTGGGGTTCTGAGACAAGTGTTGTCATCCTCTTTTCTGGGGCCCTAGAGAGTATGGGGTAGGTTTATAGAGGAGAGAAGTACACAGGGACCAAGTAAAGCCCAGAGAACATTTCAGAGAGTTAATTATAATCAAGTCTGTCCTGGAATTAATTTTTGTTATAACTGATTGTAACTATCTCATTTGTTATATTATTTCTGAATCAATACCCTTCTCCTTTAATTTGGGAATAAATCCTAGACAATATTTGTGTGGAGCATGGAGAAACAGGGTTAAAAAGGAAAAAAAGGGACCACTGAAGCAAAACTAGGTACACCAAGATACAGTGGCAGTAGCAAAAAAAGGAAGAAGGGTCAGTAGATCTGAGCTCAGGAGCAAGCAGGCCCAGGGACCAAGTGGTGCTTGGTGTCTCAAGCCAAAGGGTTAAAAATTAGTGAGACTTAGAAAGTAGTGAAAAATTAAAGCCCTGGGGCTCAGGACAGAACCATCCAGAATAAAGTTCAAAGAGCAACTTGAGCCCTGGGGAAGCGGAAGAAAAACCAGGCCTAAGGTCCAGGGAAGGATCCCACAGGCTGCCCTTTTCCACTGCCTCTTTCTTCATGCCACTGAAGGGTGAGACTAAGGAGTAGCTAAGGCTGATGCAGCTGAGAAGGGGCTAGCACCTGCCTAAGCTCAAACCCTTCCCGGGATGAGGTAGAAGTTTAAAAGAAAAAAAAAAAAGAAATTGGAGGGAGACTCTTGGAGAAAGGAAACCAGGAACCTAGGAGAAGACATGAGAAACTAAGTGGGCATCCTTAGCCTGGCAGAAGAGAAGTTCACAGCAGTAGCTGTCCATTCCAAAGGGTGGGTTGGAAAGGGAAAGGCTACGGCTTAATCTTGAGAGCTTTCGAGACTCCAGATCAGTGATCTATAACTCAGAAGCTCTGGGGCTGAAGCTTGGCATACGACCTCCCACTCCTCAGTAATGACTCCAATTCCCTTCACTCACTGGGGAAGACAGAAAGAACTATGCCCTTCCCACAGGACCAATTCACTGACTGAATGGGGTGCCAGAATACTGGGCCTACTCCACTGGCTAAGAGTTCCTCATTCACACTTGTTATTCTTATCAAGGACCCTTCAGGTGAGGCACAGGTTGGAGCTTCCCTGTTAGTTAGCCCCATTCCCTTGTCTGAAGATGGCAGGCAATGAGAGCAAAGGCTTTGTGACTCCCTACCTATCCCCAAGACATGCAGCCCAGAAGGTGAGGAGGCTCTCCTGCCAGGCCCAGGGGGAATGGATGACTGCAAGGGCCTCCCTGTCCCTGGCAGGCAGCCTTCCTGTCACAAGCTAAAGTAGTCGGGCATGTTTGGGCCATAGACATCTGTGGTCCACAGCACATCAGCCCTACCTGCTGCTATTAACATCTGATGCATCTCTCCCTGAACCTGAGCAAATTTCTCCTCATCAATATAGTCCTCCAAGAGGTTTGCAGAAAGGGGCACACCAGGCAGGTCCTTATAGCAGTCCACAGGAAATGGGTACACTACCAGCTGGAGGTCAGGCATTACCTCAGAGCGAGACAGCAAGGCTAATGCTAGAAAGCCCAATGCTAGAAAGGGGATTGTCATAGAGACCAAGATAGCATAGGCGGGTACAGCGGGACAGAAGTGGTAGGGTACTAATGAGGTGAACATCCATGAGCTGGCACTCTGTCACCTTCAGACACAGCAAGGAGGCTGAGGCCTCCCCTACAAGAGCCTGGAAAGGGGGCAAGAGATCACCTGACAGGTTGTTGCCACTGAGGTCTAGCTTCTTGAGGTGGGGAGCATGTGGACTCTGGGACAAGTAGCTCAAGTCCACAGGCAGCAGGTAGCAGACAGGAAGTTCCAGGCTTTCCAGGGGACACTGTAGGCCACTGCAAAGAGAGACACAGAAATGCTATTACTTCCCAGGGAAAACAGAACAAACATGAGGAAGCTGGGATGGTGCTTTAACTTCTTGGGGCTTGTTCCTAGACACCAGCTGGTCAGGCAGCTTTTTCCTCAAGTGAGAGGGGCAAGTTTTGCCCAAGGTCATAGTGATTTGGAAAAGCACATACAGGAGAGAAGCTACAAAGCTTTAAGGCACAAAGTTCTCTGCATAATGACAATCAACCACTCCCATGCTACCAGTATTTTCACTGTTTACAGAGAGCTTTCCTCACACTGGCTCAGGCGGGGAGCTAGAGTAGCAAGGACCATGCTCTCCACTTTACCCAGGAAACTGGAGCTCTAAGGTTACCAGTTGCCCAAAGTTGAACAGTCTGAAGTTCTGGCACAAGGATTTGAAAGCAGGTCTCCAGCAGTCCTTCCACTTTAACATGTTTGTAAAAACAACCAAGGAATTGAGATTTCAGGAAAGAAAAGGAAGGGGGCCCTGAGACAAATATTTGAGAATATATTTCTCTCAAGCTGAACAGTTCCCATTAGGAAGCCCTGGAGCTGCCTTTCAGGGCAGGTACATGAACAAGAGGCTCACTCACCTAAGCAGCTGCCGAAGCTGGCCCGAGAGCCACGAGGTGCCCAGATTAAGCTCCTTGAGGCGTTTCAGCTTACTCATCTCTGAAGCCAAGAAGCTGAAGGTGCCTTCCAACATGGCCCAGAGCCGCCACACATCCATGTTGCTGTACTGAAGTTTCAAGCTCAGCAGATTAGTGAACTTCATGATGGAAGCTACGATCTCCCACACACCCCCGGCTTCCAGAGTAAAGAAGGACAGATCTAGTCGGCGGCGTAAGCTTCAGTGGTCCAATAGCCCCAGGAGATCCACAGTGATGTCTGGTGGAAGGTCTTCAGCTCGGAAATCCCGGCAGCACAAGCGCAGGGGGCTGACAGCATTATTCTGCAGGGCCTGCTTTAAAAAGCCACTGGAGGAGGGGGTCACCCAGAGATCTACACGCACTTCCACAGGGAGAAGTGTGCATGGCAGGTCCTCGACCTTCCTGCACTTGTTGGGGCTTTCATTTGGCGCTCAACTTTCTCCAAGAGGTGGCAAATGCCAGTTTGGGCCATGGTCATGGTACGGGCCCACATTTTCATAGTTTTTAGGTCTTCCTCATAGCCATAATCCAGGAGTCCAGTCATATCTAATAGCTGCAGTGGATGCCTCCTGAGGGAAGGACAGAGAAGGTGAGACCCTGGGCTAGAATGCACCCCATATCTTGACAATCTCATCCCAACTTACCCAACATATACCTGAAATAATTAAATATAAGAACTAAATGAGGCTGTGATAAAGTAGAAGAGAAAAAGGGAGTGGAAAGCTTAAAATAGGACCACAGAATGCCACAATTCAAAGGAATCTCAGAAGTCTATACATATAGTCCAACCTGTGCCTAAAGAATCTCAACAATATGCCCAAAAAGTGATTAATTCAGTCACTGCTCAAAGACTATCTGTGGGGCCTAGAATTACCAGATCTTAAATTTACTAATAAAGTAGTAACCATCAAAATTTGGTTAAAAAATAGAAATAGAACAGATGATTTGAAATTCATGAAATTCATATGGTTTGGGGTGTGGAAGACGCCTGAGTTTGGGGGCATTTAGAAACACTGCAAAGGCCACAACCATGTCTCAGCTGAGAGCAGCCTCTTCTGGGAGCTCCTGCCAGAGGCTGCCAGCCAACGTGCCTCTCCCTGAGCCCCGATCTCAAGCCGCGGCTGAGGCCCCAGAAATCAGTGCTGCCGGGCCTCCTCCTCCTGGCACAGGCAGCAGCTGCCTTCCTTCCTCTCCTCCTCCCCCAACAGGCATTCTGGGGTGGGGTGGCCAGGTGTCCCGGTGGGCTGCCAAGGCCCCTCCCAAGCTCACTTCAACAGATTTCCACAGGTAAAGGGGGTGGGGGAGGGCGGCCGGATGATTGGTTTACTCTTTCAAACACTGGCTAAGAGAAACTGCCCTGGCGGATTGCCAGCCTGCCTCCCCAACTGGTGACCCGTCTGCTGATCTCACATCCCGCGCAGCTTCTTGGTGAGAGGCATTCAGGGACCTGGAACTACCTTTGGACACAGGGAGGGCAGAAGCTCTTCTCTGCCCATGAGACCACCTTAGGAAACTCGTAATTTGCACTAACCAGGACCTAGCAGCACAGGCTTTATTTGTGGTGTACAGATGAGGAAACTGAGGTTCCAAGAGATGAAGTGATTTATCCAAGCACATGGAGATTAGGTGCTAACGGTACAAATACGGTCTCTGCTGACCTCTGGTAAAGACCTCACCATCCCGGCCCCTTCCGAAACGTGGGGCTCTCCAAGGCGGCCCAGACTCACCGGCTTCGGAAGCTGCGTACTCCTTCCAAGTGTCGCGAATGCAACAGCTACGTCTACTTCCAGGGAGCTGAGTGCGAGGAGGTAGGGGGGGCGTGGAGGGATATGAGCTGGCTTCCCCTTCGTGAGGACAGCTGCCATCACCCTGGGGGGTGGGCAGCGATCTTGGGGCTGACAGTGAGGTCCCATGGTCACACCGATGCCCCCAGTGTGGCGAGGCTCTGCTGTGCTGGTCACGACGGCGGCGTTTGTCCTCTCTCCCCAGTGCTGCCTGGCCTGTCACAAGAAGTGTCTGGAAACTCTGGCCATCCAGTGCGGCCACAAGAAGCTGCAGGGAAAACTCCAGTTGTTTGGACAGGACTTCCAGAAGGCAGCCCGGGGCACTGCCGACGGCATCCCCTTGGTCATCAAGAAATGCCTGTCTGAGATCGAAAGGCGGGCGCTCAGGACCAAGGTGAAGGCCCGGGGAGGCTGCCCGAGGCCTGGGGTCGAGGGCAGGCTGGGGAGCCCCTCTGTGTGCTCTGCTGGGAAGCCGAGTGCGGGACTTTGAGTCAGGAGGCGTGGGTTTGATGTGAGATCAGGAGGCTGATGTTGACTAGCTCCACGGTCGTAGGCAAGTCACTTAAGCTGCCTCTGAACCTCAGTTTCTTCCCCTGTAAAATGGGCCTGATAATGCTTGCACTTCTTTCTTCATGGGGATGTTGTGGAGAAAGTGCTTTATAAATGGAGCTTATTAAGGGGAAGGGGACAAGCATTTATTAAGCTCCTGCTATGTGCCAGGCGCTGTGCTAAGCACTTTTTACTGATATGACCTCATGCGGTAGGCGCTATTATTATGCCCATTTTGCAGTTGAGGAGACTGAGACAAGGAGGGGTAAAGTGACTTGCCCAGGGTCACACTAAGTGTCTGAAGCTGGCCTAGCGCTATATCCCCTGCATAGCTGGGGTGGTCTTGGTATTCAGGAGCCATGGGTTTGAATCCTGGCTCTGTCGCTTATCACTTATGTGATGAGATGGGCCAGCAGTTTCCCTTCCCAGCCTCAGGTCCTTCATCTGTGAAATGGGGATAATAATGCTCCCACTGACTACCTCCCAAGGCTGCTGTGAAAACGCCTTGTAAACCCTTCACTTGTAGAAACGTGAGTCAGAAGGCCTGAATTTGAACCCCAGCTGTCATGCTCACTGTTGGCAGGTGCCCAAGGGCAGGCTGCTTGGAGCAGAGGGAGGAAGTAGCACTGGCCTTGGGTTCTAATCCTGACTCAGACCTGTCTAAGGTGCGATCCTCACCGCCTCATTTTGATGTAGGGGAAAGCACTTTGAAAGCCTTGGAGTGCTCTCGAACAGTTACAATGAGCTTGTTATGTAATTACGGCCTAATTATATTACTAATGACGATGATGATTGTTACCAGCATGCGCCTCTGCCTGCACCCTCCCTCCAGGGCCGAGGAGGGGGGCTCCATATGACACAGTCACAGATCTACTGGGGTATTGTGGAGGTGGAGGTGGGGACGCTGGCTTGGTAGCAGGGGGCCTGGATTCTAATCCTGGACTTCTCTCTGCCTCAGTTTGGTTGTGGGAAATGAGAGATTTGGACTGGATGGCATCTGAGCTGCCTCCCGGCTCTGAACCCTTGGCGTTCTGTCCTCTGGGCTCGGGCTGTGCTGGGTGCAGACAGCCAGAGGATGTGGGCTGGGACTCATCCAGGGCAAGTTGTTGCCAGAGATGCCCTGGGATCAGCTCTCAGCATCGTCCACTGAGGCCCGGAGGGGGCTGTCGAGGTGGCGGCGTGGAACCACCTCATTTTATAAAGGAGAGATGTGAGGAAACCGGTCCAGGCCACCGGGGTGGCGCGTGCTTGCCCAGAGCCGGGATTCAAACCCAGGGCTTGGGACTGCAAGGCCGTGCTCCTGCTGCCTGCCTTCCACCAATCCAGGCCTCTGGAGCAGTGTGGAGAGAAGGCAGTGGTCTCCAGGCTTCCTTCCAGCTTTGACCTTCTGTGCTCTGGCCCACACAGGGGATCTACCGGATCAATGGCGTGAAGACGCATGTGGAGAAGCTCTGCCAGGCGTTGGAGAACGGCAAAGAGCTGGTGGAGCTATCGCAGGCCTCCCCGCACGACATCAGCAACGTCCTGAAACTCTACCTGCGCCAGGTGAGCCTTGGCCCGGAGGCTGCGGGTGGGCCTCACTGGGGCGATGAGTGGGGGGTCAGACTGACTTCACCTCTGCGCCCTCTGCACTGTCTGGGCCTTCCTCAGACGGAGGGGCTTCTGACCTTGTCCCGGCCATTCTTTGGGTCTCAGTCACCTCATCCCACGATAAGGAGGTTAGATGTGATGACCTCTGGGACCTCCTCCAGCTTCAGACCTTGTACTCTGTCTGCTCGTCAGGGCCTGGGGTGGGACGATGGGAACGTCCGTGTCCCCAACGGGCTTCGCAGTCGGCTTTCCTGTCAGGAGGAGCCGACGAATAGCCCCGTCCCTAAAATCAGCCTCTCTCAGGCTGATTGATGGGTGTTTAGAGAGGGCAGTGGTTATTTCTGTGGCGTTGTCAAGGACAAGTCAGGCCAGACTAACCCCATCTCGTTTAGCAGGTGCTTACTGAATGTTTATTGATTGATTTGGGGGCAGGGTTATCAGAATATAGCTTAGAGTTGGGAGGAATGCAGCCATCTGAGAGCATCTTGGGCAGGGAGGGGGTAGGGCTGGGAGGAAGAATGCCATAGTCTTAGAGCATCTCTGGGCTTTAAAACTTTTTTCTTTCGGGGGATGAGGTGGGGATGTGGGAGGCAATCAGGATTAAGTGACTTGCCCCGGGTCACACAGCTAGTAAACGTCTGAGGCTGAATTTGAACTAGGTCCTCCTGACTTCAGGGCCAGTATTCTATCCCCTGCACCACCTGGCTGCCTCAACAAAGCTTTTTTTATGTTATTTTTCCCTTTTGTTTTGATATCACAGTCATTTGTGAGCCAACAAAGCATTTGACAGATTCTCTTATGATTTTTGTGGACAAGACGATAGGATGGCTGGTTGAAAGCTATGTGGGAGCTGTCCTAAAGTTGGGGGGCGGGAGAGTCCTCTCTGGGAAGGTAGTGGAGCTCTGCAGACAGAGGCTGGAGGACCAGCCGCTCTTTGAGAACATTGTAAAAGAGATTCTTGACCAAGTGGCCCCAGACGTCCCTTCTGCCACTTGGGCTTGGCTGTTGGCTTAGGAATTTATTTTAGAGAGGGGGATTTTCTGCGTTTCTTTTGTTGTAGAGGGGGCATTCCAGGCTAGATGTCCCCGAGGGGATTGTCTCAGAGCTTGGAGTGGGCCTGAGGGCCAGCGGTCTAGCCCGGTGTGCGGGGCCCTGAGTTGGCAGGCACTTTGGTGTGCTGGTTTTAGAATTGGGAGACCTGGGTTTGAATCTTAGCTCCATCTTAGCTTTTGATGTTAGACAAGTCAGTCAGCCTTGCAGAGCTTTGGTTTTCTTAGGGTCTGACAGATAATGAGCCTTTCATGACTTCCTTCACTGGGTTGTAAGGTTTAATCTGCTATAGATGAAGGAAACCATAATGGTCCAGAAGCATTGTGGTGGTGAAGTAGAAATAAGTGAACGTGGGGGTCAAGAGATATGGGATTTCAAGATCCTGGCCCTGGAACTGAAAAGCTCCCGGCAAGTGGCAATACCTTTCTGAGCCTCAGTTTCCACATCTGTAACGCGGCAATCATAGTCTTGTGGGGAAAATGCTTTGTAAACCTTGAAGTGCTTGAGAAATGAGGATGAGGAAGGGGGTTGGCGGGAGGCGACCCTCATACCTCCCTGGTCCCCCATAGCTGCCTGAGCCCATCCTTTCATTCCGCCTATAGCACGAGCTCATGGGGTTGGCGAAGGAGAGCCTGCAGGGAGAGGCAGA